GAATGTTTAGTTCGGGTGACGTCTGATTATTTGTTAATCTAGCCACTGTGCTAAATAAAACCCTTGGATTGTTTTGGTTGTTTTCTATGAGTTTGCAAATATGCAAGTCCTAATGCAACATTTGTATTATCAACGTGAATTTTAAAGTCTCTGAAAATTAGTGCTTTATCAACATTAACCAATAGGTCTGAGAGGAAATCTGCAAATTCTTTTAGGAAATCTGCATATGGCCCTGGTGGTCTATACACGGTAGCCAGAGCAAATTATATAGTTATTTCGCACATTCACAGAAAACGGCTTACTTCCGCATTGAAAAATAAGGTGGATAGGAACACACTAAAACACTTAGAATACACTAGCAACCATCTAGAACACCCTAGCAACCAGTAGCTTCTAGATCATGTTGAGAATGTGTAGAATTTAAATATAAGCAATCACTCATATTCACTTGTGCATCATCTGCTCTCTTTAGGGAGCAAATGGGCTGCCTGGGATGCTGGGACAGAAGGTATGATGTGACATTTTAACATTTTATTAAAATCTCATGCATTAGATGTCACTGATCTTATTCGCTCCTTCTCTCTGAACCACCCCCTCCTCATCACTCCCCCAGGGTGAAATGGGACCCAAGGGTGAGCCTGGCGTCCCAGGGAAACGTGGCACTACAGGACGACCAGGCAAGAGAGGCAAACAGGTGAGAACATGCAGCATTCTACTCTTCATCAGAGCTCCAGTCTGTTTTGATATTGAGACCTTGAGTCGTTGAGTGATGATAAGGGAGTGGATTATTGGCATTATTGGCAGAAGAAGCTTTGGGCATATTTAAAACCCACATCCTCACACGATAAACCTGTTCCGCCCAGTCAGGGGGTCAGTCTGTGGCTGTGTGAGTCATTTTGTAAGTAACCTGAGGACCTGAAAATCTCACCGTGCTGGTAGCTGGATTCGGACCAGCAGGGCCTCTGATGTTGGGTCCAGCCCTGCCACTCATGTTTCCAAGCTCTTGTATTATACTGCGGATAGGCACTTCCTGGGAATGTCTTAACTAACTGCTGGGAAATACCAGGACTGTTACTGTAGGCTGTACTCTGCTTAGATTCCTACTATAAATCAGTCCAGCGCTGTGACATACACATTTAAGGTTCCTTAGATCACTGCACAGGCCTTGGACTTGAATGTCATTTCAACACCTGCAACTAGTTTGATGCATTGAATTTGTATATACAGTATATATATATATATATATATACACTACCGTTTAACAGTTTGGGGTCAGTACGATTATTTTTAATACTTTCATTCAGCAAGGATGCCTTAAATTGACATAAAGACATTTACATTGTTACAAACGATTTCTGTTTCAAATAACTGCTGTTCATTTAAACTGAATAAATATAACAGTTTCTGGAAAAATATTAAACAACACAATTATTTTCAACATTTACAAAATGTTTTGAGCACTAAATCAGCATATCCAAACCATTCCTGAAGGATCACGTGACACGTAATAGCTGCTGAAAATTAAGTTTTGCCATCACAGGAAAAAATATATATTTTAAAATAGACAACAGTTATAATATTTCAAAATATTAATGTTTTACTATATTTTTGATCGAATAAATGCAGCCTTGGTGAGCATAAAGGTCAAAAACACTAAAAAATATTATCAACTCCAAACTTTTAAACAGTAATGTATACACATATAAACTCTACATATGTAAATATTTGGGAGGTTTTAGTGGTTTTGTTGGTGTAGATGAATCAATGGGTTTTGCTAAATTATTTATGCATTCTGGCGTAGGGGCCTGATGGAGAGAGAGGTTTTCCAGGGCCAGTGGGTCCCATTGGTCCACCTGGACCCAGGGGCCACCCGGGACCTCCTGGGGTACCTGCATCAGGTGAGAACATATGCACACAATTTATTTCTGAATCACCTTTGAGGACATCTGCAGATGCAAAGTAAGGTTTTGTGACATTTAGCAAACTTCTGGGGATGGTTTTTGTACATTCTGGTCTTTTAAGCAGAGATTTTGATAAGTAAATCAGTGTATTTCTGTTGTAGCTTAATAGTGATGTCTGATGAAATCTAATTGCTTTTGTTTGTTGGTATCTCATGATGGTCAGGGCTGTTTGTAGTTGGAGAAAAAGGTGAGAAGGGATTGCCCGGTCCTCCTGGAGTCTGTGACTGCAGCTTTCCTTCTCTCAGTCCACCCAGTGCCCCATTACAACACCGTAACAAATATGACAAAGTTTCAGCGGTAAGCCACACAGACTGTCAAATGATTTTTTTTATGCTGAGGACTTCCCATTTACTTCTATTGTTTATATATTATAATGTGAGTGTTCTGTAATGTGAGGTGAAAGATATTCAGTAAGAAACTTGATTTTATCCATTTGGAGGTGGGCACTAAAGGATAAATAGTAAATGTAAAATAATAAAGAGTACAATCATAAAGAGTAAATGGGTTCGATTAATTTTGAGGTAAATTATTTTCACTAAGCCTAAACCACACAGATCGTTTTTCCATTTCACTGCCAGCTAAGACATTATTTAGTCCCTTATTTGATCTGTTTTCATTGTGAGGAATTCTAGGTGATTTGGGGTTTTCGTATCATTCTGGGTAACCTGATGTACCAAGCCAAATTTGACATAAGATCAAACTTAATTAGCCAGTTTATAATGGAATCAATAAGCCTGTTTGTTCAGTCTTTATATCTGCTTCTTGATCAGTTTATGTCTCCTGGTCAGATAATCGTTGTGAGCAGTGAGGAAGAGCTAAAAGGTCTCTACGAAGATAACGCACTCGCCTTCAGGAAGGATCAGAGGTCTCTTTACTTCAGAGATGAAAATGGATGGGAGCTCATTCAGGTACAGGATAATTTTGAATGCACTGTTATGAAACATGCTGCCATACTGGTATTTTGGGATCAGGAGCATGTTGTTTGTATTTTAGCTGATGCCACTCCAGGCGACCGAGAGGATGAGGAATGGGAATGGAGTCTGCGGTGATGGAAAGTAGCAGGAACTCAATGGGGAAGAATGCGACGACGGAAACAAGGTTGTTACGGATGACTGCGTAGGTGAGTCACATGATCCCAGAAATGTAGCCAAAATAAACATATGCAAATGCTTAAAGGGGTCATATGATGTTGCTAAAAAGAACATTATTTTGTGTATTTGGTGTAATGAAATGTGTTTATGCGGTTTAAGGTTAAACATTAAATTAATTAGTAGTATTTATCTGGTTTCGATGATTAATTAGATTGGAGAGTTTTATACAGAAAAGCAGCACTCACACTCTTATTTCTTGGCTTAGTCTGTTGATCATTCTTAATCCTTCTTTCTCTTCACTCACTCTACCTCTGTCTCTTTCCTGTTCTTTATCTCTGTCTCTGTGTGTAGGCTGTAAAAAGGCATACTGTGGCGATGGATATCGTAATGAGGGTGTGGAGGAGTGTGATGGGAAAGACTTCGGCTACCAGACCTGCAAATCATATCTGCCAGGGAATGCACACCACACACACACACACACACACACATACACACACACACACACACACACACAGAAACACATTAACCTGCATATGTAAAATTATTGGATTTTGGTAGATGTTTTTTAATCAACAGAGATTTTAAGCTGAACTGTCTTTTATTTATTTATTAATTATTTAAAGCTGCATTACGTAATTTATTTTTTTTGGTTAAAAATGATCCAAAATCAATTACTGAGCAAGTACATAACAAATCAGATTCGGGTCGTTCGCTTTGTGTCATTGCGTCACGTCTGTATACATAAAGAAGAAGTCCCGGCTAGTAGGCTACAGGAGAATTCCAAACGGAAGGCATTCAGTTGTTCACTTTGGTTTGGAACGTCCCTACAAAACGGGAACGTCCCGAAGTACAGTGAATATCCACACTGGTACGTTGACTGACAGCCAACACATATACCTCAAAACATCAGATTCATCTGAGCTGAGGAGCCGTGACGGTGCACTACCCACGTAAAGAAAATAATTCCGCAAATAACTGCAATTGCACGTTTCAAACAGAGATGGCGACAAAGAGGCAAAACTTACGCACTGCAGCTTTAATTGTGTAATTTTAATGTTTATTTCATTTTATTTATTTATTTAAATAATTTTTTTTTTAAATAACATTCAATCATCTTCACTAATTTAATCGTCTTCACTAATTTATTTTAAATGGTCCAGGGTGTGACTAAATTTTTTTACAAATATTTCTCAGTTAATATGAGGTAATAACAGCAGTATGCATATTAATTATAAAAAAGCAAAATCCTTTTTAAATAGTTTTAGATGGAGTGGATCATGTCACGCCGCAGGACCTGTCAGCCTCTAAAAAGTACTAAATGTCAACACCCATTATGATGAATGTTTAAGGGCTCTCTCTTATCTTTTTGTACAAATAGCACCTTTGGGCAGCTCAGGTGCACCGACTCCTGTTTCATCGACTCAGCTGGCTGTAAATACAGGACCTGAGGCTTACAAAGGTTACACATTCACACGGACACACACACACAGATATGAGGGAGGGCCTGCTGAGATCAAAAGTATTTAGGAGATGATCCGAGATTTGGCTGTGTCTGTCTCCATTGCCTCCCTCACACTCATCTAGACACACAATATAAGGTTCAACTCAGCGGGTATGGCACTATTTGCAGTACTGCTCATTGATGCTAGTATGTTTTTAATGGCAGCTGAGCTGGTGGATGAATGTTTTAGGAAAGGAATGAAAAGACATTATGATTTAAATGAATGAATAATATGTTTATACGAAACTTATTTATTTGTTTGGTATTGCAAATGCATGATTAGGACTGTGCATGTTCCTGTATGTATATCATGTTCTTGTTCCCAAGAGACTAAGCACTATTTTGCTGGTACGTGCCTTGTAAAGCATGCATTGCAAATGCAGGCATTTATTGTATTTTTTTTTTTTTATTTCAATTATTTCAATTATTTTTATTTCAAATACAGATAGTTGTAAAAATTAAACATATAATGAGGGAAAACAAAAGAGTATTTTTTTCTTTGGTGTATTAGAAAGTCTTTATTTGATGAGTTAGATGTAGAGTTAGTAACAAAGGGCTCCAGCAGCCACTAGAAGCATAAGCAAGACGATATTGTCTAATAAACTTACTTGTGTTAGTTTTAGAAATGTAATTGAATTACATTTTTCTATATATAGTTTCAGCCATTTCAACCATTTATTCTGTTCACCTTAGGCCTAAAACACGGTTTCACTCATAGTGGTTAACTTCCTTCCCTTTTACAAAAACTGATGCCCTTTATTTGAAACAGTAATGTTAGCAAGACTTCTCTGATCTGTATGCACAGATTTAACACTCTTTCCTTTTGCCTTATTTTGTTAAGCCATGTTTTAATCTTTTTTTCTCATTTTTATTCTGTTAGTAGTTTAATCATGTGCCCTTTCAGTCCATTCAGGGTAAGTTGACAGCTGATAGGATAATTAATAAAAGCCTTTTCAGGTATGATAAGCAAAATTATTAGGCATAATATTTTTGTTCCAGAAACATATTAAATGTTAAAACACTTATTATTGACGGAAGAAAATTAATTAGACAGGTAAACACTTTTTTTTTTGTTAAGAATCAGGGGTTTTAACATGGCTGCAGCTGTAATGAGAAAACTTGTTCTTGAAATGTGGATGGCAAAAAAAAAAACATTAGTTTTACATCCAACTAGAATGTTTTCACAGATAATGCAGCTGAGATTGATAAAGTGGCACTCGAGTGAGTTGATTTGACCTACAGATTTGGCTGCTGTTCTTCACTGATGATGAGGATGATGCTTAAAATATGTCCTGCAAAAGGTTAGCACCAAACTTCATATTGTCCTATTTCATCTTAACTGAGTCCTCATGGCAGGAGGTTGTGGGTTGACTGTGAAAACAAAACAGGAAGAGTTCATTTTCAATAAGAATCTGGTAATTCCAGATTTAGTTTCAGTGTTTGCTTGTTTATAAATTATACCAATCAACTGAGGAACTGATAAAACTATTTATTTTCAGTTTTGGACAATTGCTTCATCTTGGATCTGATAATAAATGGATCCTGAAACAAACTGTTTACATTGAAACAGAGACTTGTATACAGTATACACTACTATTCAAAAGTTTGCGTTTGGTAAGATGTTTTCAGTGTTTTTGAAAGAAGTCTCTAATGCTCACCAATGCTACATTTATTTGATCAAAAATACAGTAAAAACAGAAATAATAATACAATTAAAATTTTTGTCTTATCCTGAATCACTACGGTACACCTATAATAAGTGTTTATATTCAGACTATTTTAGACCAGTATGGATGACAACCGCTGTGGAATAGCCCAGTACCTGCGTGACACATCATATCCAGTTACATAGTGTACCTTTAAAATAACTATTTTCTATTTTAATATATTTTAAAATTAAATGTTTGCTGCTCAATAAACATTTTTTATTATTATAATTGCTGAAAACACTTGTGCTGCTTAAAGGGGTCATAGGATGTGATTTCAATTTTTCCTTTCTCTTTGGAGTGTTACAAGCTCTTGGTGCATAAAGAAGATCTGTAAAGTTCCCATGATTTTAATTGACTCCAAGTTCATCACCGTGTGAGCATCATAATGCTATATTTGGATTTAAAAAGGTGTTAATATGCAGATATTTTGCTGTCAAATTCAAGCACATCAATACTAAATATATTCTGGAATTTGTTATGAAAACTTCTCCCATCCTATTATCACCTGCTTTTTTGCCACTAATTTTAGGCTACATTATACATGTAGTTGTGTATAAAGCAAACGCAGTATTACAATTGTACAAATAATAAAAAAAAAAAAAGATCATCTGTCTCAAGCCTGTCTAAATGAACAGAGGCAACATTGTGAGCAGTGTAATTGAACAGAAACTTCACCTTTGCTCACATACACTCTCACACACAAAGAGGTTGTTGTACCTCTGTTCTCTTTGCTGGGGTAGGTACGTGGGAAGGGCCTGAACTCTTCAGGAGGGGGGAAGTCCTCAATCGGATGGAAGTGAAACTTCGATTCAAAGTCATCTGAATAGCAGACAAAGAAAGGAAAAAACAGAAATGCTATGTTAAATTAATGTGCTTTGCATATGCACAAACACAAACATGCAAATACACTATTAGCAAATCATAATTTCACTGTATTTCATTACTAGTGTAACTGCTTGTTGCTGTTCATCAGATGGTAATAATAGCCCATTTAGATGTTTAGCTTCATCATTAATGACAACCCGCAGTCTCACCTAAGCTCTGCAGGTGTCCGTTGCGTACTGAGCTGGGCGGAGCTGACAGTGGGAGAGGAGGAGGGGGTGGGATCCTACTGGAGAGTTCAGTGTTAGGAGATCGAGCAGGGGGAGCAGGGGGTGGAGCCATCCGTGGAGCACCTGTCAATCCAAAAGTCTTAATATATGACTGACTATAATTTATCTCAGTTACGTTTTCATTTTAGTTTTTGTTCTAATATATATACATTATATTTCCAAACACAGTACCATTAAAAAGTTTTTTATAACACTTATAATGTCCAATTAGTTAATGTTAACTAAGATTAATCAATGCTTCTGAAGTATTTTTCAATGTTAGTTCATTTTAACTGACGTAGTTATCTTAAAGTTAACAAATGGAATGTTGTATTATTGTACAGTAATAGTACTTTTTTAAATATTTTTTTATTCAGCAAGGATGCATTAAATTGATCAGAAGTGACAGTAACGACATTTATAATGTTACAAAAATGTCTATTTAAATAGATGCTGTTCTTTTAAACTTTCTATTCATCAAAGAATCCTGAACAAAAGATCACAATTCCACAGATATATTAAGCAGCACAACTGTCTTCAATAATATGAATTATTTCTTGCAGCAGCAAATCAGCACAGTAGAATCATTTCTGATCAGAAGTGACAGTAAAGACATTTATAATGTTACAAAAATTTCTATTTAAATAGATGCTGTTCTTTTAAACTTTCTATTCATCAAAGAATCCTGAACAAAAGATCACAATTCCACAGATATATTAAGCAGCACAACTGTCTTCAATAATATGAATTATTTCTTGCAGCAGCAAATCAGCACAGTAGAATCATTTCTGAAGGATCATGTGACACTGAAGACTGGAGTAATGGCTGCTGAAAAATCAGCTTTGTCATCACAGGAATAAATGACATTTTAAAATATATTAAAATTTGTATATAATATACATAACAAAGGTCAATAGTCATCTACCTGCAAAACGTGGCACTGCAGGGGGTCGTCTGCTGGGGGCGTTACAGGGGTAAGATGGTGGCAAAGGTGGTACGCTGGGCCTGTATGTGGGTGAAGGCACGGGAGGTGCTTTCTGAGGTAGCGGAGGAGGTGTTGAGGAGGGGTGACTGAATGCAAAAGGAGCAGGAAGAGGAGGAGGTGGGGGAGGAGGCCCTAAAGGACTGTCCTTCATTTCTAATGGGCCTGGAGAAGGGGGCGGAGGGAAGAAGACTCCAGATGACCTGTTAGGGAGCGAGGATGGAGGGACTGATGGAGGTGGTGGAGGGTAGATGACCCCAGATGACCTGTCAGGGAGCGAGGATGGAAGGACTGATGGAGGCGGTGGAGGGTAGAAGACCCCAGATGACCTGTCAGGAAGTGAGGACAGAGGAACCGATGGAGGCAGTGGAGGAGGCGGAGTCGTTGGCATGGGAATGGAGTGTGATTGGACTGGTAACCAAGTGGGTTTTGCCATTTGAGGAGGAGGGGGTGGGGGCAGGCAGGTGGGGAGAGGAGGTGGTCTATTACTGGGCCGCTCCTGAGGAGGAGGAGGAGGTGGAGGGGCAGAGGAAGGAGGAGTAGAAGACAGTTTGAAAGAAGGATGTGTAGTTTGGCTTGGGGAGGGAGGGGCTGTGTATGAGGAAATAGGCCGAGTTTTAGACAGTGTGGAGGCTCTTTCATATATATATTTTATATCAATTACAATTTTATAGCAGACTCTAATGTTTATAATTGAATATTAATATTAATAATGAATCATTAATAATTGAATATTAATAATTTAATATTTATGTGATGAGTGGGGCGGGGGCCGAGAGCCGTGGGAATGGAGCGAGGCCGGTGGAGTAAATGGGAGGGGCAGAGGAAGGAGGAGTAGAAGACAGTTTGAAAGAAGGATGTGTAGTTTGGCTTGGGGAGGGAGGGGCTGTGTATGAGGAAATAGGCCGAGTTTTAGACAGTGTGGAGGCTCTTTCCAAAGGTTTGTGGGAGGGGGAAAGATCAGGGGCGCTTCCTCTGAACCCATCTCCCTGTGATGGAGGGTTCCAGAGAGGCTGCTTCAGGCTTGCGGTAGAGCCGGAACGAGACACTGAAACACAAAAAAGCCATATCAAAAAGTAATTCAAAAGTTGTCCAGCACTGAAAATATACAAAGCATGAGAATAAACAGATCTGACTTCAATACCCAGGTTGTGATGTGGCTGTTTGTCTCTTTGTCCGGATGGTTTGAGTACAGGAAATCCCCCGGCAAATATTCCACTCAGACTTGGACCCACTGCAGATGGAGCAGATCCTGCTGTGTTTGTAGAGTTTCCAGCAGCCACATTTCTTCCACTGTCATCCACACTATTCACTTTAGGTTCTGCAAAAATACACACATCACCATTATGCTTACTGTGATTTCACCAAGTAGAGCATGTTCCTGGATCACACTGCAATACACCATTCAGATTTTAGGGTTAGATTTAGTCTTAAGGCTGAGGTTTTTTAATAAATCTACAATTTTCATCTGATTTTATGGTTAGTGTTAGTGTAAAGGATATGATTAGGCTATATATTATATATATATATATATATATATATATATATATATTTAGAGTGGCCTTTTATTGTGGCCAGCCTAAGGCACACCTGTGCAATAATTATGCTGTCTAATCAGCATCTTGATATGCCACACCTGTGCGGTGGATGGATTTAGACAGATTTGTGAACAATATTTGAGAGAAATAGGCCTTTTGTGTACATAGAAAAAGTCTTCTGAAAAAAAATCTTTGAGTTCAGCTCATGAAAAATGGGGGCAAAAACAAAAGTGTTGCGTTTATAATTTTGTTCAGTGTAGATAGATAGATAGATAGATAGATAGAGAGAGAGAGAGAGAGAGAGCAACAAAAGTAACTTAATGTTGGGCAGTTACAATGAGTTTCAATGCCCCATTTTTCTCTGGTTTGATTTTTATCACAGTATCCATGATACACCAAAATAAAACTCAAATTGTGTGGCATCAAATGGTCTAATCTAATCAGGTACTGAATTTTAGCATAATTAAATAATGTTTAACATGACACAACATGACTTAGATCCATGAAGTGTAAAAAAAAAATATATATATATATATATAGTTTGCAGTTTTTGTTATACATACATCAACTAAATTATAGTTATAAACTATAGTTGTAAACTAAAATATATTTTCAATATCTAGTTTTCGTCATCTTAATAGCTCCTGTTATAACAATAACCTCCTACTTTCAGTCACATAAAGCAGACAGACTCAAGACAAACAGTGATGCATAAACGGGAACTGTAAGGTGAAGTGAGCCAATGACTTATTAATGAACATGGCATGTCCTGAGCACAGAGAATACTGCCGTCCTTTGTAATAAAGAGGAAGATGAGGAGCATTGTCACCCCCCACTTTCTGTGTGATCCTCACTCCAGCACTTCCTGAGGTCTTGGCCCTTTATCTGCCACTGTGCATTTCCATATACAGATAGAAAGCCTGTGTGTCTTACGATTCTCTCCGGCCAATCCGTGATCAGCAGAGTTTACACGTCACGTTTTGGTAATGGTACGGTTCACTTGGAACCCCAACCGAGGTGGTACTAAAAAAAGTACCAGGTACCAGGTACTATACCCAGTGGAAAACCCCCCAAAAGTGAACCGTACCGAGCCGTACCATGCAGTGGAAAAGCGCCATAAAACAGCTTTTTAAGTCACATGACAAAACTGCAATAGCACTTTTAACCAGCAGATGGTAGATGTGGCCATGAGTGTAAAACTACCAGGGAACATTTGGATTATTTCTAACCCCAACCCTGAGTTCAAATATAGCTCTGACACTGATAAATCCTAACAACTTATCAGTCATTCCGACTTTCTCTGAAGCCTGGTTTTCTCCTCATACTTACTCTTTTGTTTAATTTTCTCGAGAGAGTAATTTAATATAGGTTCTCATGCTGACACAACACTCTCATCCTCAATAACCAATCATTGAAAATGCAATGCTGATAAACAACATTCCAGTGTTGCCATCATACCGCAGATATGAATTTTGGACTGCAAAATCAGATAATCAGGAAATGAACCTGAAATAGTATCAGTCTAGTATTCATATTTCCCATGCTTGCAAACAGATGGATTGTTGCCAAGTGACTCATTTCACCTGATCAGCGTTAAAGAATTGGGCTTATGTTAATAAATTAGATTTTGACTCACTGTCAAGGATTGGTGCGCTTCTGTCATTGACCTGTGTGACCTTTTTCAGCCTTGCCCCTTTCTGAATGTCAGACAGGAGAGCACTGCGACCTCCACCCTCAGAACGCTGGATTTTAGGAGGGTCTGTCCGTGACTGTAAAAGAAAGAGTGGAAAAATTGAAACTTTCTTAGTGTTGTGAAGTTCTAATGAGTTTCACTGTGCCTTTAGTTTTCTTTGGTAAGATTTTTATCACAGTATCCATGATATACCAAAACAAAACTCAAACTAGCCAAAAATGGTCTAATCTAATCAGGTACTTAATTTTAACATGACTAAAGACTGAATGAAGACTGTTTCATCTGTTTTTATCCATATGATGAAAGTCATAGGAGTCCAAAACAACAATTTCTTGGCATGGACATTTTTTAAATACCTTCTTTTGTGTTTTACAGAAGAAAAAAAGGCATACAGGTTTAAAAAGGCATGAGGGTGAGTAAATGATTCATAATTTTCAGTACAGGGTGAACTATCCCTTTAATGTTGGTTTTGTTCAAAGATGTCATTTGTGTGCACATGCATTCAAACAGAAAGCCAAATCTGAAGATGTGACACCTGTGCTGTATATGCCTCTGAGTGTAATTTTATCTCTAATTAATAATGCAAATCTAGCCAGGTGGTTGCCAGGAGGAACTGCATGACGGGAACAAAGACAAAGATAGACAGAGAGACAGATGGAAAAAAGAAAGAGCCATTATACACACATTCTGATGAACTATATTACAATAATAGCTGTCAGTGAATGTGTGTGTGCACATATTGAAACACAAACTGTGAGCTGTGACCCTTGCCCTCCGGATGGGACTATTTACATTATTTGACCTCTCAATTTGACCTCACGTAGATATCTAAATTATTATAATTAAACAAAATTAATATTTTAATTATATATTCAAAGATAACATTTAAACTTACTATTAAATTTGAATCATTCTAATTCTAATCATTCTAATATTCTGATTTGCTGCTCAAAAACATTTATTATTATTATTGTTGTTGACAACAGCTGAGTAAAATTTTTCAGGTTTCATTGATGAATAGAAGGTTCAGAAGAACAGCATTTATCTGAAGTAGAAATCTTTTGTAACATTATAAATGTATTTCCCATCACTTTTGATCAATTTAAGGCATCCTTGCTAAATAAAAGTATTAATTTCTATAGATAATTGTCAGAGATAAATATTTCTGATACATGCGATATTAAAAGGTCAGTCAAGTCAAAAGATCACAATGTTTACATCTTTAAGCCAGGTATACAGAAAAATAGCACAAAAAATAAATAAATAAATACATTACAATGAAAATTACAAAAATACAAAACAAGATCAATACATTTTCTGAAATTTATATTATAATTAAGCAAAATGTATAGTTTAATTATAGATATTTACATTAATAAATATTAAATAAAATAATATAAAATTAAATTAAATTAATAAGTCCACACATTTTATTTTAAATGTATTTAGTAAATGCTGACTTACAGTTGGAGCTCCAGCTAAACACAAGTGTTAAACAACACCAAGAACTTTTCAGCACTTCACTGTGGTTTCGACATGACAAAGCGATCTCCCCACACCCCCTCTCTCTCCACAAGTCTACGGTACATGTTCCTCTTGGCACGAAGCTTGTCCATCACAAGATGCACCCAACAGGAACCCTCCCTTCTCTTTTAGGAAAACCAATCTCCTGCTTCCACAATGCTAGTGAGAGGTTCCAAAGATCATCTTTTGAAGAAACTGCATTTAACTCTGAACTAGGGCCATCTCTACCATATAAAACCGTGAACTTGACTTGTAAAAGGAACATGCATACAAATGATCTCAGATCAAAATAAAGTGGCAACAATGGAGTCTGTTGTTTGAGAAATAGAGCTGCTCAACTTCTGGTAAGCCCCGCAGCTAATCAGAGCTATTGTGTGAGAAAGAGAAACACGCTAAATACAGTTGAGAAATGTAGAAGGAATTTAGTTAATATGTTAATTTTTAGGAATGTTTATTCTTGTCAAAATAGAGAAACATTGTGTTATTGCTCCATGGAGGAAATGACAAACGGACAAGTTCAAGCATTAGGAAATTCTAATGTGAAATTAATTTCACGTTTGTGCATCACTAAATGGATAAAATCCCAGCATTGTTCAAAAGACACAAGAAGAATCAGCTATTCATCCTTTGGCCTCTTTCATGATATTATTGTCCAAGATCTTGTGGGTTATATTTCATCCAGTAGCATAGCTCCAAACAACTCTCTGTCTTTCCCTAGAGTCCCATTAACAGCTTTCCCATGGAGATGTTGACACCCAAGGTTGTGCTGGTCCACCCATGTGGAAACATTTTTATCCACCTGTAGAGACATGCTGTATAATATCTGGCCGATGCTAATCATGACACGTGTGAATGATTTGTATTCTTTTTTAAGTATATATCTTTTCATATATATATATTTTTTCATTAATTTCATGTGAATTTTATAACATTAGACTAAAAAAACTGCAATGTTAAGTACAGTGTGAGAGAGTTAAAATTAAATTATTATGTAATTGAATAATTCATATGAAAATAGGTTTGTTTACTTAAAGGGATAGATGACCAAAAAATGTAAATTCAGTCATCACTTATTCGCTCTCATTTCTTTACAAACCTGTATGAATTTCTTCATAAAAGAAGATATTTTGATAAAAGGCTTTGAGAAATCTTTTTTTTTTTTAATGTACAATTGAACTTCATTGATAAACAAAACTGTTTGGTTAATAATATTCAATATAACATAACTTCTTTGCTGTTCCACACAAGAAAGAAAGTCATGCATCAGGTTTGGACAGACAAGAGCGTGAGTAAACGATGACAGAATTGTCATTATTGGGTGAACTCAACTGTCCCATTAAGGGTCAAAGTACAACATTTTAACCATTAAAAATCCAGATAGCCTACTAAACTGTCATTCGAAAAGTTGTGAAAAATGACCAGACTGTTCACATTTAAGGCTGGTTACTGTCAGTGCTGTGTGTCAATGACACTCACCAACAGAGTCCAGCTGAGAACACAAACTAATGTCGTGCCAAACATAACGGTAGAGGTTCAATGGTATTATGCAAACCCTGGGTTACTGTAGTCAGTGTATTCTTCAAAGGCAACTTTACCTTTGCGGGCTAGAAAGCTGAAGTTTCGTGGGTTTCTGTTCCTCTGGTGGACGCAGGGAAGTTGTCAGAGGCCAGTCTGGGCGCGAGGCTGGGTCCGCATAGTGCGCGCCTTTGACCCACGAGGTACAGTTAATGACCGCAAGCTCGTGTTATAATTAGGAAGACGCCGAGGACGTAGGGTTTCACGACGTCTATTCGCGTCTAATTTTCCGTTAAGTACGTGACGCATAAAAAGTAGCCTATAATTCGCTGGTCAAACCAAAACACTTGAAGAAAATTGTAGAACTATGTCCTTCCCACTTGGTAAAAAATAATCCACTAGAAATGTTTCATTTATAACACTTCGTGACACAATTTCCAAATGCTGTGCTCCTTTTCACAGTTTGGAATTTATGTGTGAACTGAACCGGACTACAGCACGCGCACCCTGTAGTCCGCCTGTTGCGTCTAGGGTGCACGCGCAACGCGTGCGCGCGCAAACAACAACACAGCAGGCGGCGCGCGGTGGGAGGTTGTCTTGACCATGAACCTGGCTGTGTCATATTTTGTATTATTTACAGCTTAAACCCGAAATAATAAACCCGAGAGCGTTTATGTAGAAAGAATGTGTCAAATTTCTATAATGAAAATAAAAGTTAAGACTTTTATGAGTTGTTTAACATCATATCTAGTTTTGTGTGCTTCAGGTGGCCGTACTCTATGCTGCGCGCGACCAGAACGCTCTCTAGTGGTAGTTTTGGACAGCGCTTCGTTTGTGTGTGTGCAGAGTAGAGAGGGAATGGCTAATTAAAGATAACCTCCAAACCAGATTTGATCAGAAATGGGGTCAAGAAAGTATCTCAATATTTCATTGACTGAAAATAAATTCAGCTACTTCTAAAAACTATTAAGTGTGTCAAACAACAACGCTAAAATGTGTTTGATTCAATAAGAACAGTGCAGCCATGGCTCAACAAGCCTTGATTATAATAATGGTAAGAAAAGCATTTGTCGATGCAAATTATCTAATATTTTCCACCCTATTAGGGAAAGACAGTGTAGTCATTCTGGCTCTCTCTGAGAAACTTGTCTTCTAGGAGTAAGGAATGTTGTGATACAGGGTTGATGAGGTTAAAGATGACAGCCTCGGGTGAGGTGACGAGCATTAGCACACACTAATACTGTAACTCTAATAATGACCTATTGCTTTCTGTTTACCCCACCCATAACAAACACTCACATACACGTAAGCACATTCAGGGGCAACAACAACTCAGCATGCACAAAAGGATTCCTTAGATGGAAAATCATCTGTTTATTTAAGATCTGATGTAGTAACACTTCCTTCCCAAAGCTAAATTTAGCAAACTAATGCATAAGAGTACAGTATATTCCAATTTTTTCCTGATTGCACTGAAACCTTGACTAAATCATCATTATAGACACAAATCTCAAATCTGTCTGTGCATCACTACTCAAAGGATCTGAACATCTGAAGCTACAGATGCCTACTTCTCTTACAACCAGCTTCACTCATAATAACAGATGAAATTATTAGATCTCATAGTTTGATCAGTTTTTTTTAACCCAATTATCAGGTTCCATTCTAATTTAGGATGACTGAATAGTACTTTATCCAAATTCAACTTGTGTCTTCAATAATATACTCATATAACTACCGTAAACACTGTTTGCTAAACTAACAGCTTATAGTTATATTTAGTTTATGTTTAGTTATATTGCTTTTCTTGACCTCTCTGTTATATCTTTACTGTTAGATTTTTAACTAAACATTATAAGAATAGAATCTTTGGTTTATCTAAAGAAAATGTACTGTTTTTGCTGTGGGAGAACTTAATCACAAGATGTCCTGGATTCAATAAAACAAACTACACAAGAAAACGCACGTCAGATGCATGACTATCATGACATATAATAATGTGATTCTGGGCGGATAGGACCACCACCCTAACCCTTATAAAATCTGTGGCATGCATGGACAAGCATTAAAAACAAGTCATGGTAAGGCTGTGCTTACAGCGCACTGATTACCATTAAAAAATAATTGCTGCTAAATCCTTCTAATGAGTCCTTCATAAAATATTGCAGTAACACCACAAAACAGTGCAAATTGTGTATGACAAAGCTCTACAAA